GACGAGTAGCAGCACAGCCCACGTAGGGCGTCATGGTGGAGGGAACCGGTCTCTTGAACACAAGAGGCTGTGGCTTCATTCAGCAAACCTAGTACGGAGTAGTCAACTGGTGAATTGGTGCTGACCGAAGACCAACCAACCACATGCAACGCCACCGGCTTCCAAGTCGCAGCCGGTATGCTCCCTGCGCGCTTGGCCCAGCCAGAACAGAAGCAGACCCCCACGCGGGGCACCTTCATATCCGCAGTTCGAGGGTTTCGCGGCGGAAGCACCCATTTTCAGACGTGATCAACCACACATCGTCCCCTTGCGCCATTCCTTCCGAAATCCACGACGGTTTACATCCGACTCTTGGGATCAGCAGCCGTCTCGAGAGCGGTGTCGGCCGACTCTGTCAGGTGGACCGACCGACCATGGAACCACAAGAAACAACCCAAACTCGTTTGCGGGAAGACGACCGACCCACAAGCGACGCAACAACATTACCCGTCAGGACGGCCAACATCGGTCCTCGGTCGAGAACCGCGAGACTTTCCGGATGACAATCGATAGTCACTTGGTTGGCTTCCCGGATCAGCACTACTGCTCGGAGCAGTACCGGTACACAACAAGCAAGTCCTACAGGTTGACAGCCATAGTGGGGGGGGGGGGGGGGGCCACACCATTTGACCGAGATTGCCAGGCTCTAAAGTACGCATGTGGGGGTAGCCTGGATAAGAGACATCAGCCAGACCAATAGGACGACAACTCGCTGGTCCTTGTTCGAAACGCTGACTTTTCTCCTAGGGAAGCATGGCATGGAGGTTGTTATCATCCTAGCGCAGTCGACTCGTGTGTCGCTTTCTCCAGGCCAATATGGGTGGCGTTGCTGGGGGGCATTGGAGCCACTCCTACTCACCGCCATCCACAATGACTCTCCAAATACCCAAATACGGAGTACAACGCGCCGGTGTCAACCGGGATAACTCTCGCACCTGCTCCGGCTTAATTCGAGAAGGCTGACATGCGAGGCACTGAACTCGTTTCCATCTTGCATACCGTCAACTATTGCAGGCCGCCGCAGCTGCCCAAAAAGTAGCCTGCGGGAACGCGGCTGTCCATTTCTCGAAGACTGCATTGCGATTCTAGGTAGGTGCGGACTCACGTCTGCTCGTAGAATGTCCAAATCATCAGGAAGCACTGTAGTTGTTGGTGTTGAGGTTGTTTATGCACATTGTCAAAACCGACCGACACCTTTATTGGGCGTCAGGACCACCCATCATCCGTAACTTGGACGATCTAGATCCGATGTCGCGCATGACGCTCATGGGGGGAGTCACATGTCAAGTTGGCGCCCTCTGAGGCCGAACGAGACGTAGCAGACGGATATTAGCGGTGGACAAAGCTTGTTGCAATTTTGAAGCCGTTTAACATGTCAAGACATGCTTTGAGAACGCCTTCATAGCCACACGACCCACCCAGAGTCGAATTCAAGTCTGAGCTGCCTGACGCCAGCCATGCTCCGATAATGGAAGGCTGGAGGTTGGGTAGCCACAGTCTGTTCCGCTCCATTTTCGTCAGACCCTGGGCTTTGGAGTTCTCCCCAGTCGGGCTGATTTGGCGAAAGACGCAACAAATCCGCCGAGGCGGCTCTACACTAGGAGTCGACCATCCGCTCTGCAGGCGGGGGGATCTGGAAGTCGGGAGTCGGAGACGAGAAGCACACTGACCTCAGCGTTTCACCCTGGCACCGATGTGTCTTGTTGCCGCGTTGCAGATGCCCTCGCAGGCTCTCCGGCAGGCCCCAGGACCAGGAGTTCCACTGTTGATGCGAGTTGAACCAAGTTGAGAATAGACCAGCGTGGTCGGATGCATAGGCCGCTGAGCACCGCTGTCGCTATTGTGGGGATCGGTCCGTTGGGGGCAACACGGCACAGCGCACCCTGCATCGAATTCGGAGCCCTCAATGGCTAGCGGCGGCTTGGAAGACCGCGCAGTCGACATCGGACAGACAGAATTTCGTCATGAATTTGAGTGGCTGCAGTATCGCGAGGCCAAAGGCTGTCAATCTAGTCGAGTGTAGGCAGTAGCATGTAGGCAGTAGCATGTACAAAGCAGCCCGCAGAGCAGAGGAGTGCACATATCTCAAGGTCCGAAGACGGGTATACGAGCCCACCACGGTGCTCGGTACCGATGTCATTTCGACGAGTCTCACGATAGGATTTGGCGACAGCCTCCCCGGTACGCCCTGGCAACCTCGGAATTGTACGTGAATGAACCTTGTACCTGAGCAGAATATGGGGCAGATCGATACTGTCAAGGATGAAGTGAGTATCGTATGCCAGTGAGCATGACAGGGCCCAAGAAGAGCTAAACCGAGGAGAATGAAGCGCGCGCGGAGCCATTGAAGGTTGCGGGCGCCATGTCCCCACGTCTCGACGGTGTGGGCGACTGACGTATGCCGGTCTGGATGCTGTGGTGTTGAAAGAAGATGACAAGTGATGATATCGTGGTGCATGAAGGGAGTAGCAATATCCGCCCCAGAGGTTTTGCAATATTGTCGGGCGTTGGTATGCAGAATTTGGGTCGGGCCTGGAACGTCCAGCAACTTAACTTGAATTGCACAGCGTCAAGTATACGGAGACAATCCTTGTTAGGAGCGCCCGTCAGGCCCAAGGCGAAGCCAGGCTGCCAGGGCAGCACACTTACTTGGACCCTCTGCCACGAGGCGTTGTGTGAGCCATGGCCAACTCGCCCATGCCTGACTTGCGAAGGACGCCATGGGTGCCGGTAAAATGACTCGCGGACGCAAAAAAAAAAAAAAAAAAAAAAGGCCGGCAGAGCTGTATGTTTCTATTGTGTCAGGGATGGGGGATTTGGTGCGGAGCTTTCTTGGTAACGTTAACGATGCAAGGACGACGGGGGTAAAAAAGAGGGCAGTTTCAAGCGGGACGGGTATTGGACGTGAAATGCCTCGCTATAGCTGCAGTGTCGGATGCGTGGATACGGGGGTGATATCGAATAGGGCAGTAGCCATGCGAGTAGTTTTGAATGAGAGGCTGGATGACAAGAAAGATTCCGGTAAGAAGGACAGGGAGGCTCCGCGAATGTGACGCAGGTCTCGGACAGTTGGGCGGAGTCGATGCTGGTCGAGTGTTGGTTAGGTAGACGCACGAGCATCGAAATGTCGACAAGAACCATAGGTCACGTAACGTTGGATGGGAGAAAGAGCGCAACCAGCATGAGCGACCTGAAAGTGAGGAGTAAATAAATTATGGAGTAAGCAAGGAGGCGTATCCATGCGTACGGGGGACTGGAAAATGGAGATCGGGAGCGGGAACCGCGCCTGTCGGGAAGGGAACAGTGTCTGGAGAATGTCGCGCGAAGGAGTTTCGAGACCCATTGATTTGATGATGAGTGATCAATATGAGTGAGATGGTGTTGATATCCATGGCAACTGTCTGTCAAATGATGAGATGTCGAGAGAATGGGAAAATAGTTTTTTTTTTCTTTCGATTTGACCTTGTTCAGCATGCCTCATCGGTCGGTAATGTCCGTGACCTGCTTTCGAACGTCTGTCTGTGCGTACCTACCTGGTACCTACCTTATTAGTAAGCCGTGGAACACACACATACATATTCACTGGCGTGCTTCTTTCCAGTCTTGTCTGCATAAGGTAAGCACCACCATCACCAAATACTAGTACTTGCCCGAGTATTGGTCTGCGGCTTGCTTGCTCCTTCTTCTTCATAGGCCTAGAGCAGTTCAAGGCAGAAATACATCCGTGGGCTACTGATATCCGTACTGCCTGCCCACTTACGGCCTCGTGTGGGGGTCTCGTGCAACTTCCCTGCAAACCCGGCTGCAAGTGCTCAACAAGGCCCCCTGCCTTTTTGGTCTGGTCTTGGATACTGGGGTCATGTACGGATGGGTAGTAGGTACGTACTACACCACCACCTGCACTTCACCACATGTCATGCAACAACACCCTCCATCTCGTCCGTTGTCTTCACCTTGGACTTTGCCGCCATCAAAACCGGCTGCATATGTGCCTTGTGAAAAGCTATTGCGTCTCGTTCCGCCAGGCGCATCCTGACGACCCTCCCACCTGCATGACAAAAAAGATGGCACACCTAAACACTCCCTACACTATAATACACAGCACAACGCTAAATATATAGATATACCTATATAAAATAGCCAGAATTAATGCTAGTATCTTCTACCCACTATTAAATATATTTTCCCTATATCCTAACCGCATCTTGTGGCTGTGTTAGTATAAAAATAAACACTTGTTAATAGTCTTGGGGTAGATGTGGTGTGAGAAAGTACTTTAGGTGTGCCATCTTTTTTGTCATGCGGGTGCCTCCCTGTCGCCCCCCCCCAGCGAGTGCCGGTCTAGTCTCCCAAGTTGCATCAGACCTGCAGCGGCGAGCAGTCGGAATGCCAAATACCTTGCTCCGGTTGACGAGGCACTTTTCCCGTTCCGCGATTTCTCTTCTCGCCGCAACTGCGCGCGGCCTTTGCCTCACGAGCCAGAGCTCGGGTTTCTTCCGACCAGGAAGAGTATAAACTTACACCAGCCTTAAGCCCCTCCTCCACCATTCCGAAAGAGGGTTTGGAACGACGTACATAGTTCACACACGCAGCTCACAATATCTAGACGCTGCCTTCATTAGCCTAAAGTCGCTGTCTGGCCCGTCGGCTGTCGTTCTTGCTTTAGCAAAGTCACCGCATCTGTGCCTTTTGGCTACCTGGGTGCCCGGCACCCAGCGATGCCCGGGAAGCCAGGCTGACGCATCATAGCCGTGCCATCGTTGTCCTCCTCCCCTGCCGTTGTGCCAGCAAGTCCGGGGCCAGATTGGGGATAAATTCCCGTGTCCTCCAGGCCTAAGGCTGATGAGACCCGTTACCATCACAAAGAATCGGCTACGGACTCCTACCTACCCACTGCAATTGGCGACTGTTTCTGCGGAGAGGAGAGGGGATGAGAGGAAGGGGCCTTGCCGCTACTGCTACTATCTTTGGCCTGTCCGCCACACTCGTGAGTTGCACACAGGCTCCATCGACTCTCCAGAGAACGACCGAAAATGCGGCAGCGTGCAGGTGTCTGCATTGAAGTGACCGGAGACGCCCCACTTACCTTGGCCGGCGTTTTTCTTCTTCTTCTTCTTCTTCTTCTTCTCCTTCTTGTGCTTTTTCATCTTCTTCATCCCCTCCTCCTCCTCTTTTCCCCTTTCTTTTCTCCTTCTCCTCTGCTTAGGACAAATTTGTGGCGCTGCGCATTTTGGAACAAGTAGCAGCGGCAGACTGCGGCAGACTGCGGTCGACCCCTCCCCTCAAACAGGTAGCGTGGGGTGATAGTTCGGGGAGGGGGATATTGTGGCCAATACCAGCTCGTGCTCGGCCCTGGTTCTAGACTAGACGTTCCTTGAGGCAAAAGAAGAAGAGAGGCGCCAATCACGTATTGCGTGCCACAAAGCACTTTGTGGATTCATTCGAGAATATTTCTTGCGAGCGCCTCTGATTGGCGGCAGCGGAAGGGAGAAGCAGATGAACATCAGCAAGCCGTGGGGGCTTTCAGGCGGGCACAAGACATGGCACAGAAATACGCCTGAATTCTCGTTTGGTTCGCTATGGATGCCCCCTACCGGGATCAATCAAGCAACGGATCCGCGATGAAGATGAGATGAAGGCTCCAGGGTGCATTTCCTTGGGGAACTCATCATGCAGGTAAACAAAAAGGTGTCGTGACTGTAGCGCCAACGAAGCAACCCCCATCGCCACGGGCGCAACCACCGACAACCTGGGATGAGCTTGTCCTGGGACACGAAATATTACTTTTTTGGGGGGTGGGGAAACTAACCTGTCGCCCGTGTGCCAGCAAGCCTCCTTCGACGGCAACCCGACGCGCAACACAACACAATGCCCTTTCTCTCCTTATAGCACAGAGTATTATACGCCTTACGAATACATATAAGAAGAAGAAAAACCCAGAAAAAAAAAACGGATTTCCAGCTTTTCCTAGGAGCACGAGCCAACAAGTAAATACTAGGGCCCTGGACCAATACCATAGCAGCATATGTATATGTCTCCTTGTTCTCGAGGCTCTGACGCGTACCGGAGCCTGCGAGGGCTCGAGGGCGGCAGATTCGTCTTCAAACTAGATTGCTCAATGGTTCGAATACCGCAAGAAACCGCAATTACAACGTATTCCCGGAAGCAGGGTAGGTGATGGGAGCGGGTCGCGATTTGAGGGCCTCGAGCAGGCGAACGGATGGAGAAAGATCTGATGAACCAAGGACGGAATCAGCTCCTGGGGCCGCGGCGCGGCCCAGTGTCCGGAGTATCTGCACCTAAGATAATGCCCTTCTTCTTTCATCGACGTCCCATTTGGCCTGCATGTCTTCAGCCGGGGTGGAAGGCGCATCAAGACGCAGGCAGGCGCAACAAGATGGCGTGCACTGTTGTGCTGGAGCCAGTTACATGGCCCACCGGTGACAACGTTGGGCACGCGAGTTGGCGCTTCACCACGACCGGGGATCACCGTCCGGCGCGGCTGGTACAGTGGTGTCTCGATCCGCTCCTCTTTTTCTTGCCTGCTTAGCGTGAGGGTCGAAGTCGTCCAAAGTGGAGTTCCACCGAGATGGGGCGTCCCTCGAGGGGGGGGCGGTTTCTGGTCGTGCCTTGTTCGTTGCAAGTTTCCTCCCATTTCCCCGACAGGACCCTGAAATCCGACCCGAATACAAGCTGACGCGGCATCATGTAAGCCATGGTATTCTGGTTCAACGGCGTCGTCAGCGTCTTGAACCTTGGAATCAGCGGTTGGGGCGTCGGGCGACAAGGAGACTCAGTAAACCCTTGGACACGGGTCGGTCTCTCCAATGCGACACTGAGCTTCTACGGACCCTCTGCGGGACGACTCGAAGCATGTGCAGGCGGGAACTGGTGCAGATGAGGAACTCTGGAATGTCTTGGGCTCATCACCAATGACGCTTGTCTGTCTTGGGTCCCAGCCTTCTTAGTGTAGGAATGCCGGCCGGTCACAATCCGAACGGCAGGCAGCACAGAGTCGGGCCTGCAGGAGGGTTTACCTCTCTCTCTCTCTCTCTCTCTCTCTCTCTCTCTCTCTCTCTGTCTCTCTCTCTCTGCTCGGCTTCGAGGCGCGCGCCCCATTCGTGCCTGGTGTTGGTGTGGTGTGCCGACATTCGACTTTAGTGGCCTCCACATTTCATTCAGTCCAACGTCCACTGTTCGGCACACTAAACCATACAGATCAGTCAGGCTCGGTGCTGCCACCTCCAGAGGGAATGGTCTAGTCGCATCGCATCGCATCGCATAGCATATCCTCGTCTTTTTTTTTTTTTTTTTTTTTTTTTTGTGCAGTCCATTTTCTTGCCAGTCCACGGCCCGTCCGGTTCGGTTCCCGTACCAGAGCACAAAGACTAGGGCTTGCGACGGGGTCTCGCCGTCTCGGGGAAATACATAGTAGACCCGGAGCAGCTGTCAGCCCTCGCTGTCTACCTGTGAGATGAGGAGTTTCGCAAGAGGCCGACGCAACGTCTTGCGGGGAGCGTCCGACATGTAACATGCTCCAAAGAAGCGGTATTGGGTAGAGGGATATACCCAGCTTAGCGTCTTCTCCAACGATTCGTGATGCTAATCATTCTTCCATGTGCTGACCCTTGGAGGCCGGGAAGGCCAGTCCGCCGCAACAGCTAGGTAAATGCAGGCTGGGATCGGCCATTGTTCCGTCCAAGGTGCTGCTATTCCTTTCTTTCCCTTCGAGGCAGTGGTCCCTCCCAATGGTTCCTGAGGAGGAGAAGGGCCCGGTTTCCAGGCCGCCGCTTCTGGAAATGGTGGGGAGGGGGAGGGGTGGGACAATTTACAAGCGCCAGCCAGAGAGCCAAGTGGGGGGCAGGCATCTCCAGCGTGCGCGCCTTCACGGCGGACGGACGAGAGGAGGGAGGTGGGGGGGGGGGGGGGGGGGGGGGGGCAGGTCCCCTACAGAGACGCCCTCCCTGTATCTAGACTATTTTCATGCTGGCCCACTTACACCTGCAGCAGCGCGCGCGAGCGGACATGTCAACGACTGGCTTCTTGCTGTTTGTTGCAGAGAGAGCCAAGGTGGGGGATGGGGAGAAGGAGAAGCAAGAAAGGCGATATATTTTAAACAAATAAATAAACAAACAAACAAACAAAAAAGAGGCGGAAATGGATAGGAAGAGAGAGGTGAAGAGGAGGAGAAGGAGGAGGAGGAGGAGGTGGTGGTGGTGGTGGAGGAGCAGGACTGGCCGATCAATGACCGCTCTCCAGCAAGGAAGGGACTGAACTGTGGTATACCTTAGCACATATCGTATGTAGGTAGGTAGTATAGGAGTAAAGCAGCGGAGTAGAGTAGGTAGGTAGTAAGTACAGCGGGTGAAGGAAGTCTCACAAGTGCAAAGGAGAACGAGACGAGACTGGACGCTGGAACGGGACTACTGAGTATTATTCGGCCAACTCCACACCCACCTCCCCCATTCCTCAGCTGGCTGGGTGTGAGAGGAGAGCCATCAGAGTGCTTTTTTGGCTGTGGCCCTGGCTTTTTCTGTCCGTCCCCCCTCCCCTCCCTCGGCCCCTGCACGAGGAACGGCACAACTACGTACTCCCAGCAAGCGACACCAACTACGGACAAGACCCGTCCCTCTCTCTACGCAATCCTCCCCACTATCCCGCCGGGGTCTACTGCGACAAGAGATCCCTCCCGACGCTGCAACCTGTGCGATGACTTTCCTCCCGATGTCCACTCGACGCCGTCTGTCTGCACTCGCTCTTGATCAAAACTCAAGCGCCATCGACTCGGCAGCCCATTTACCGAAACCTTCTTCTTCTTCTTCCTCTTCCTCCCCTTAACTCTTCTTAACCCTCCTTCCATATCGAATACGCCAAAGACACTGCCAGACTTGATCAGCACCCACCGCAGAGGGAACACGGCTTTGCCCACACGAGCGCCTTGCTAGATCGGCCTGCCCATCTCTCTGTCCTCGTGGCGTACCCAGGTACCCACCGACCCTTAGCGACCGAGGCGGCGGACCAAGCCACCCAGTCAGCGAGGTCAAGTGCAGTGCAGTGCAGTAGAGAGAGAGAGACAGAGACAGAGAGAGTTGCACCTAGGCGAACGTGGGGAAATTCCTTCTGGTGACCCTCGACTCGCCGAAACCGAAACCTTCACTTTTCCAAAGGAAGCTCTTCCTCCCCCCCCCTCCTCTCTCCCACACCACACAAACCTATTCCTTTCTTCCAAAGTATTGCTCGCTTTCACATGGCCGCCGGCTCCCCCTCCCCCATTGCGGCTTCCAGTCCCCTCACATCGATGAATCCCACAACAGAGCACGACTTTCGCTTCCCGCGAAGGCCTGATGACCACTGTCGCGGTACAACACAGTCACAAGCGCATTCCAAGCCCAGCCCGAGCGACCTGCCCGCCGGTCTTCGGGATCTACGACTCGACCTCTCCGCCGCTCTGTACCCGAATGCGCACGACAGGTTCTTGAAAAATTCAGACTTTCCCCCCTTCCAAAAGGCAACCATGGACTCGTACCAGAGTCCCGAAGACATGCAGAAGGAGGACCCTCTGGCGACCCAGGTGTGGAAGTTCTTCAGCAAGACAAAGCACATGTTGCCAAACCAGCAACGCATGGAGAACCTGACATGGAGGATGATGGCGTTCAACTTGCGCAAAAAGCGGCAGGAGGAAGAGAAAGAAAGGTCAGAATTCCTACCTTTCCAATGCGCCATCTGTTTTCATTTTATGCTCTATTTTCCCCCCTTCCTCTTCTTCTTTTTCTCGCCCTTGAATTTTACTCTCTGGCGGCCTTCTTTCGTCTGCCATGCCGCCGGATAGGACTTGGCTAACCTTTGTGTGGGACGATGCAGGCTCGCTCGATCTGCGCCGGCAGCTGCACTACCGGCTACAACGTTCAATGCCAACCCCCCCAGCGGTATCGCTCAGTTGCGCAAGTCGTCGGAACAAAACGTGAACCACCCAGAGCCCATGAATCTCGATGATTTCATCTTTTCCGAGAATATTGCGACGCCTGTCACGAACCCATCACCTCTGCCACAAAAGCGGGAAGAGAAGAGCCACCACCAAGCGCACTCTTCTTTTCCGTCAGCCATTCCTATCAAATCGCGCAAGGACTCGGTCATCCAGCAGCACTTTGTCCCGCAATCCGTTCCTTTCCCTCCCCATCACCAGAAGACCCATGACGAGTTCAACTATGTTCCTCGCCATCATCGCAAAACGAGTATTGATGAGCGACGGGTAAGCCAATCTTTTTTAATCATTATTAATCCTGCGGCGAATCAGTCAAATGAGACGCATGTCCCCCCCTCTTCCCGCCCAACCCTGACGTCTGCGTTTCTTTTAATTCTCCTATCTTGCGCACACCCCGGGCGCTGTACCGATGCACCCCCCCGATATCGTGTTAGTGCCCATTTTGCTTTCGCCTGAGCTGACCCCGATCGCACTTAGACCCGTAAACGTCCGGCCGACTTCTCCCCCCAAGTGCCCGCTGTGAACAGCACCACGACAACCTCGAGTGACTTGGATGCCGACTCAGAACTACACGAATACTCTCTCGATAACGCCAACGGATCCAACATGTCGCAAAATTCGCATCAGACTGGTGTCCCCTTCGGTCTTGATACCTACAACATCGAAAGCGACCCTATCATCACATCTGCCGGCCCCTTCCAGCAGAATTTCTCCTTCTCGCCTTCCACTTCTCCCATGATATCTCATGGCCCATTTTCCACCGTCTACAATGGTTCTTCAGTCCCGTCCTCCTCCCTGAACCCGTCCGACTTCTATTCTCCGCCAGGATCGGCTTATCATTCCACTGTATCGACGCCGCATCCCATGCCCGATAACGATGGCTTCTACTTTGGGTCGATGGATATGCGCAGTCAAAGACAGCAATCTTTCCGCCAAGGCCCTCAAAACATGGGAAACCAGATGAACGGGCAGTTCATGTACAACCCGCAAAATGGAAACCCCATGTTCCCGGCATCGGCACCCGCTACCGAAAACGTATCTGCCTTCAGCACCGCGCCCAGCCCCTTTGGGCACATCGACCCAACACAAGTGTTCCAGCAAGATCACCCTGTTCGGTCCCCCGGCATGTCTATGCCCAATGAGGGCATGTTCACATTTGGCGCAGATTCGGACGAGGAGGACGGCGGTGCCTTTGCCGACCGTAACATGGTCATGCCTCAGGACTTTTCGCCCGGTCCTATGGATGACAGCAACTCGCTTGGCTGGGATCCGTCGCTGCCCGGCCAGTACAGTACACAGGCTGCGCGGTACCCTGGCGGCCCACCCCGAAAGCAGGTGACTATCGGTGGCACCACGACGGATTATGTTGAAAACAATGACTGGGAAGGCGGTAACCTGCCGCGGTCGCAGTCCTTCAGACAAGGTTCCGACAGGAGGGGCGGCAAGGTTCCACGCACGGCCTCGACGCCCGCGGGGCATCTTGGCAGAAATGGAAACCCCTTTGATCGTATGGCACAATCCACGCCCAACTCTCCACCGGAGAACAACGGCGCTGTGTCTGGGTTCTCTTCCGTCGCCCCCAGCCGGCCCTCATCTCCTATTGCTTCGAAGCAGGGTTCCACGACCAACCTGCAAGCGGCCGCGGGCAGCCAAGGCGAAGGAAACGCGCCTACCACATGTACAAACTGCTTCACTCAGACAACGCCGCTCTGGCGCCGGAACCCCGAAGGCCAACCTCTTTGCAACGCCTGTGGTCTGTTTCTGAAGCTCCACGGCGTTGTTCGGCCGTTGAGTCTGAAGACCGATGTCATCAAGAAGAGAAATCGCGGCTCGGGCGCGAGCTTGCCCGTCGGTGGCACGAGCACAAGGTCGAAGAAGAGTGCTGGGGCCAGCGCTTCGGGGTCTGTCTCCCGGAAGAACTCGACGCTTGTCGTTTCCACTCCGGCCAACAACGCCACAACACCGCCTGCTGCTACTCGGGCCGGTAGTGCAAACGAGGGCGAGAGCCCTGCTAGCGGCCCTGCATCGGGAGGCAACACTGCTGACAGCACTCCGACGAGTTACGGAACCGGTTCGTCAACCGGTGCCGCCGCTGGTGGTAAGGGGGTTGTGCCGATTGCCGCCGCTCCACCCAAGAACACTCCTGGTCCTGGAGCTGCCGCTCTGTCTCGCAACGCCAATACATCCTCGTCCTCCGGTTCCTCGAAGCGCCAGCGCCGTCACAGCAAGAGTGCCGGCAGCGAGGGCACTGCGGGTATGGACGTTGACAGTCCCGAAACGTCAACGGGCTCTCCCAACGAGGCTGTGAAATCCTTGGGATCCGCCACCGGTCTTACTAGCATGCCAACGGCTGGCTCATTGGGCCTGGCCAATGGATTTGGCATGACCCAGCGTCCAATGATGGGCACGGGCATGATGGGAATGCCTGGTGGTCAGAATGGCCAGCTGATGAACCCAGGTGGTGGCCCTGCTTCCGGTCCGCAGGAATGGGAGTGGCTCACTATGAGTCTTTGAGGCCTCTGCGCCCCCCCACCCTTATCACGATTATCGGTACGATTGCAAATTCATGACACCAGCGCGGTGTCGCAAAAGCAATCTTACTGCTGGGTTTGCTTTTTTCGTCAAAGCCCCGTTTTTCTTTCGAAGATAGATCGATGCCTGGATGCTCTCCTTGCTCGTTGCGTGTTTTGAAAGACTTGAGAGTCTTCGTAATGGCGAACGGTTTGATTTACACGGGTTGATATTTTACGAATTCTGCTTGATACCACCACAACCTCGAAGTTGGCCTTTGTGCGGCGGCCCTCTGTTTTTGGGCCGCCTATATATGGGAAGATATTGGAGGGCGGCCTGATTTGTTTTCTCGATATCCTACAATTGTGGCTAGCGACTTGCGGGGGGTTCCGTGTGCACATCCTATTGCGGGATCCCCGGCCCACGTCAGCAGCGATCTACGACTTAATGCGCTGAGGGATGAGAGGCTTGATGAAGCAGATGGAATAAGCTTGGGAGATTTATGACGATGTTTAGAAGAGCGGCCGCTTCTCCTCTTACGACCATGATAGGAAATTTGTTTTCGTCAGGGTAACCTTGAGCGTATTAGGGGTGTTTTTTTCTTCTTCTATTTGCCTGGGCATCATCAGACTTTTGGGCGGGACGATTTACTTTTGTGAAGCGGTCCTTGAACGGCTTCTTTGAATGTCGTGGCGGTCTACTGGAAGCAGGACCACGTGTCTTGCATATTGATTATATCTAGCGCTATGCCCCCGACCGACATCAATTGAGATACCTCCTTATTCTTCATCACAATCTTCGTCCTGTGCCGACTGTGTATCTATTCGGGTCCGTGTCCAGACGGCATGTGGCTGGCTGGCATTCTTTGAGGCAAGTAGTAGCAAAGTGCGGTGTCGACGCCGGGTCACCTGGCCAGTCACACATACATGTACGGACGACGGTTAATTGCGCATTGGTAAAGAACACGGGCTTTCATGATTCCGCGGTCCTCTGATATTGGCAGCGGGGGCATCGGCTCCGAACGTGAGCTCCGCGCCCAACGCTCTCATGAATCGTTTAATCTTCTGGGTGGCATATTTCTGGGCAAGCCGGGAAACCCAGCTGGCTGGCCTGGAGCCTCCGATCATAAGCTGAATGGCATTAAGTTGTTCTGAAATCCCCCCCCCCCCCCCTCTCTCTCTCTCTCTCTCTGATTTTTTTTTTAAATCTTTTATCTTGAATTTCTTTTCGTCATGGGCGGCCCAAAGGGGTGGGAAGGAGGAGAGATCCGTTTGAGGGTGCCGCAGGTACCTCCATGGCGAGACAGTTCCGAGAAGACGAATGTGCTCTTCTCTGCCTGGGATGTCTGTCGGTCTGCATCTTGTGTATAGGTTTCCTTCTCCAGCCACCACCGCCGCTGCAGTGTGGTGGCCGAACTGCCCCCCCCCCTTGCCGGGAGCATACAAGGCAGACACCTAAACCGTCTCCCGTGGAACGTTGTGGTCTTTCCAGGCCGGCGGGATCGTCCACCGTATAGAGGAGACCGTCCTTTTTCCTTGGCCAAAGGTATGTAGTGGTCTTGCCTGAGGAGGCATTCTCAGCGTGACACGTCAACTGCGCAAGGAGACGAAGGCAAGCACGGCCCGGGGTGTCTGTTGGTCAGCATTCAGCACCGACTCGTCGAGGGAGAGCGGGGTTAAAGGGCTGAAGGAATCCATCGACAGGCCGAAAGCGATCAGTGATGGGCTGTCGTTAGATCTCCCGGTGCTCTCCGTGACTTCGTGTCTAGAGAATAAACATGTCGGGGCATCTCGTTAGGAGCTTCGTGATCGTACCGTCTCCGCCACCTGTAGGCAAAAGAAACATGGCTAGCTGAACCGCCAGGACGAACAGGCCATCCGTAAGGTATTGAGCTTTTATACGATGCGACCAAGGACCGTTTACCTTGGCTTTGCAGCAACCCGGATGTCCGTACCTGCACCAGGCGACGCCACCATTGGAAGCTTCGCATGTGAGCCGTCGGTCAGAAGAGCCTTGAAAACATGAGCCGCGGTGTTCCCAAAGTCAAAACTGTACAACGGAGATAGACCCCTGGGCAAAAACACATTTGCCATCGAGATAGCGTATTTGCGTCGTTCGTAGCCTTCTTTCCGGGCAACAGCCCAGTCTGACACTGTGTTCGACCCCGCCAAACGAGAAGAAAACAAGACAACCTGGGTATACCTACCCGAAGCCAAAACATACCACCCGGGGCAAAACCACCGCAATGCGTGTCGCCGCGCTCGCCGCCTTCCTCTCGACGGCCCTTGCCAGTGTCCCCGCCGGCCTGGCCCTCTCCCGGCCCGACGCCCGCCTCGCCGTCCGAGGGGAGGAGCGCCAGAACGCCAAGTTCCCAAAGGAGATGGATCTTATGGAGGAGCTCATGAGGCGGGCCGCGACGTACTGCCCCGGCGCGTACGGCGGCGACAAGAACGAGTGCTACTGGAAGCTGCGCGGGGCGTGGCCGGGGTACCCGGACGATTATGCCTCCTCCACTCCGCGGACGGGTAGACCGCCCTCCGCCTCAAGGTCTCTTGGAGGAGGGGTCCTGGGCAGAGGCGGCAATCGGGTAGAATGATGGATGCTGGGAGAGCGGGGGGGAAGGGGGAGGCAACTTGCTAGCCATTTCCCCCCACTTTTAAGTGCTGACGAGGCTGGTTTCAACCGGGTATACGGTTGTAGTGAATGCATGTTGTGCGGACGAATAACAGATTCGAAATGTTGGCCAAGTCACTACTCGGACCTGAGTCTGGTAGCATGATGCAACCACCCGTCGCCATGTCAACGCCCACGAGGCCGCGTGGAAAGCCTGTTTGGCACATACCGCTGTTGAGGGGGACTTTGGTGAGCAAAGAGTCGGCGACGAGTGTGCAAGCGTTACAAACGGTCAAACATGTGTAAGATCCCAATCGTCAACGAAAGTCTCCACCAGTATTCAAATGTGTTCTTCTCTACAAACGGCCGTCATGTTGAAGCACTTGAACAGAGGAGAGGACGGACAGGCAGCAGATGACCGAAGAAATATCGTGTATTTCTCCCCAAGCTGTGGCGAGCCGCCCAGCCGCCTTGGTAGCACCCAGCGGACTCAAGACTTGGAGGCATAGGCAAAAGTAAAACAAGCGAATTCCCCATTTCCGATTTTGAATGCCAGAAAACCAAATAATTTTACGTATTTCTGCTGTACGCATTCGTTTGTCTCTTGTTGCTTCGTCGGGCCGGGTGGGACAAGCATCTACACCCAAGCCGCACCCAGTCTCGCGCCATCAGCAGGCGGAGGGGGAGAGGGTGGGATAAACCCCGACCACGACGGCAATTTCCCAAATTTCACCATATTTCGCCAACCACCCTTGAACTTGATTGTCCGTCGATTCCACTCTCATGCCAGTGGCCCAGACGTTCCTAGAGTCGTATCGAATGCGTGGGGTAAGAGAGAAAAGGCGCTTAAGCGGTAGGGTTGGGGTTCATCTACGGGGTGGCGTTAGTCACGAAACATTATTCACGTTCATCTCAAGACGGCTCGGCGACGGCCTTGGTCGAGGGAAAGCGTACCTTGCGCTTGCCACCGGTGAGGGTGACGTTGACGAAGCGGCGGGTGTATGTGAGACGCTTCTTCGCGCGGCCCTTGGGGGTCTTCTTCTTCTCCTGGGGCTCAACCTTGGGGCTATCGTGATGGTCAGTGATCGGATCGGTTTAGTTCATCAGGCTGACAGGCTTCAGCATCGCCCGGTCGGCCATCGCGTCCGTTACATCCGCCATTTCCGTTGTCAACCGTCGGCATCGAATGTTGTGTTCCCTCCTTCTTCCGACCGATTGTTTCTCTCGTCTTCGTCCGCGATGGCCGGGTTTTGGGCGGTTGCCACTTCTCCTTCCACAAAAAAAGAGGGAGAAAAACACTTGGAGATGGGCTGAGGACTGTCTGAACGGGCAAAGACTTACGTCTGAGACTTGACCTTTCCGGCACGCGCCAACGATCCGTGAACCTTTCCCATTGTGACGGTATGACAAGTTGCTGCTGTGGTGTTTCGGTGAGTTGGTTGTCGATGGAAATCGAGAGCGGATTTGTCGACTTCTGCGCGGGCGGATGGGCGTCGGGTTGCGTGCGAGTAGATTGCGGGACCAGCAATTTTGGCTCAGTGAATTTCTGTGTGCACGTCACGTGTTGGCTGTGGAGAAGGAGCAGGGCGAGCGAGGGGGGTTTCCTTCCGCTTATGGCTGAACCCGCTTTCTCTCGTTTTTGCCTCCCGGAGGAAATGCACGGGTAAAATCTCGGACTTAGGGGCTATGGCTAACTGACCAATCGTCTGACCAACCAACCAACCAATCACCCAATCCACACCTTGGCTCTGGCCAGATGGGGGGTAGTCTCAGGCTCTCAGCGTACTAGTGGCGCGGGCGAGATGAATCATTCGGCGAGGAAGCCTGAAGCACTCACTCATTGACGAACGATGGCACTAGGCTGGGGACATGCACTTGCGGTTATGTTGCCGCATTGGATTCTGTCCAAACAACCATGCAACCTATTCAACCATCATCCCATTTGTATCTAAACCGGCCGTGCAATGTGCGTACTCTACAGGGTATCATGACATGATCTCGTATGAATGCATCGGCCATGCTTCCGTAGTCTATGCATCGTCTCCAAACGAACCCCAGATCTGCTCTGCACTCTTTGGATGCGCACAGTATCCGTTGCACGCTTTGCACTTGTCCATCTTCTTCGACAGCATGTCCTCCAGCGAGCTCGGGTGGAGAACGAGGTCCTTCGTCTTCAGGTGCTCGTCAAAGAAGGCGTATGGTCCGCAATAGTCACCTAGGTGAATCTCGGGCATGAAATCCAGGTCGTGGGCGGTGTTCCTCTTTGACACTTCTGCCCACGCCGCTTTCACGTCCTTCTCCACGCGGAAGTCCCAGGTGCCCTCCCAGGAGGCTGTCGTTGAAAGCGAGTCAACGCTGTAGCGGAAGACGGCGCCCCCAAACTGATCCGTCTTGTAAATCTCCAAAATCTGCAACGCCGGCATGTGTTTTGCAGCATTGGCCGCCGTGCGAAGGACATTGTTGATCAGCTCGGCGTCGACACCATCAATCATCATGTTGGACGTCAGAGCAAGACGACGGAGGTGCTTCCACACGGGTGGCGAGCGGTTACGGGAAATCAATCCCTCGAAGAAGTCGCTCGCGTCGGACACGTTTGAAACAGCCATTTCCTCGGCTTGAAGACTGAGATGGCCCAGGTTGTGACCCAGACTGGGGCAAGACGTTCTCGGGACATCGCCCAGGTCGTCGGCCTCGGCCATGGCGGGACCAGGTGCGGCAGGGTCCGGGTTTGCTTCCATCTCATTTTCTTCGCCTGAATCGGCATCCTCCCATTCGCCTTCGCCACCATCAGCAAAGGCGTCGAAGTGCTCAAAAATGCTGATCCGCTTGATGTGAGACGGCCAGAATGGAAGGCTCCGGGCGTGATCTGAAAAGAGGTAAGCATCCGTTGATTCTTTATCTATCTCACACCCAGTAAGATGGGAGAGAGAAGAGACATACCTGAGTCGACTTCCAACTGTGCCTCCATGTCTACTTGATGCCACGGCTCAAAGCGAACTTCCCGAAGCCGAGGCAGGCTTGAGAAAATGGTGAGGAGCGCACGAGATGAGAAGTTGCGGTGGTTACGGCGCAAGATCTGGCAGCTGCTGATGACCGGAACCTCGGGCAAGCCGTGTCGTCCAATCTGGTCGCAACCGGCAGTGATGAAGCAGAAGTCGAGGTCGTGGTCGAAGAAGCGTGAGTTGCCGTCCTGGTCCAGGCCCATCTCGCCAAAGTACTTGTTCTTATCGCTGGGCGAGGCGGCGCTCAGCTCAAGCTCGAAGTCCGAAGCCGAAGGCGCCCACTTGCTCAGGATGTCGAAGAAGTTCCAGACGCCCTGTGTGAAGGCGACTTCGTTCTCGTTCTGCTCGATGTCAGTTTCGGGCACCTTGGCGAGCTTGTTGGGGTAGCGCGGCAGCTCGACGCGGAGTGAGACGCGGCGGAGGTAGGAGCGGCGGGCTGGGTCCTGGAGTATCTCGTCAAAGCTGGCGAGGTCCTTGGCGGTGCTGATCTCGAGATTGCTGAAGTTGATCTTCTCGATAAACCCCTGCCACTGGCGGCACACTACGGCGTAGCTGCCCATATCATGGCGTTTGCTCTTGGCCTTCCAGATTCTCGAGCGTCTCTCTGCGACGGCGCTGAATGCCAGATGCTCGAGAATGAGACCCCTGAGCTCGACGGGGAGACCGTTCCATGATGCCATCTCGGTCTTGTCTCCCATGGCAGACTTGGTGTTGCCGAGGGTGCAGTCGGCTTCTGATAAGGGCGACGATCGAGGCCCGTTTTGCCCTGCAACCAAGGCAAGGTCCCTCAGAGACTCGAGTGAATTTTCAGCGGGGCAAAGAGTGAGACACCGGGCCCTTTGTGTGTCTAAGTGCCGGCTGGGTCCTTCAGAAAGCGGCCAAAACAATAGAGAACGGAATGTAAGACCTTGGGAATGAATGCTCGGGTTTTGGGTGCCGGAAGGGCGCACCTTCTTGGTCGCTGTCAACGATGCTGTCACAGGCGAAGGGCTTGCACCTTTCAATGCACTGGCTGTCTGTGTTGTCACTGAATCTGCCTTGGCTCGCAGCCCAGTGAGAGTTGCGCCTCTCGGCTGAGGTCAATAGACATGCCTGCGCTCCAATCAGAGTTTGCCAAGGTGAAAGGCCCCCTTTTTGCAGCGGTACCTCCTACTCCAAGAATCCTCAGCGTAACTAGCAACTTCCTCCATCTTATCAAGTACCTCAGCGCTGGTGCACCCCGCTGAAAAATCCAGCACACAGTTTGCATGTCACCGCCTTGACCAGTGACGGACTGTCCTACACACTGTCCCCCCCGCCCTCACCAAATAAGCCGATAGGCAGCGATGAGTGACACTCGGCATTCGGCAAACGAGACATTGCCAACCGGTACCCGGGAAGCCGTCCGTTCGTCTGGATTTTCCAATCTAATGCCATCACTGATTATTCCTCGAACCAACCTTTCCCATACCCGGGGCGGAAATAATGATACAACCCAGATTGTGTAGGGTACAAACTCTTGCCCCAGCCATGGTGCCGGAGACCTCTTATATTGCATATACAGCGTACCGTAGCTAGGTACCCCGCCCATTCCCGGCGGTTGAGTGGGTACTTCTGGCTTATCAGATCTGGTCCCAGGCCGCTTTCCAATCGTCTCATCGCAGACATCACATGGGCCCCTTTCCTCTGCTAAAGTGTGCTGCTAAACACAGCATGAGGAGCCTAACGTAACCTTCTGAATGACCAACCTCGACAGCCCACTGTTACAAACTAACCGCCTCTGCCGCTACGAAACCCAACTCGTCGTGACTGTCCACAAGCTCGCTGAAGAGTAGGCCCCGACGAGCTTGTCTGCCCCCTCTCGCATTCCCTGGCGGACCCCAGCGACAGAGTCCCCCCCCTTCTTCAGTCTTCTTCGATCATCCCCGACCAACGAAGCCGCCCCCGAAGCAGACGTCACCGCCGTGCGTGCATTCGGAAGCTCAATCCGCACGTCTTGGCTCTCTTCCTAGCCTCGCCGAGACCGCCTCGCAGTCCGAAAGGCTTGTACGATCGATCCTACCCCCGTTTCTATCCGACCGCACACCTCGAGCGAGGACTTTGCTACAAAAACCTCGCACACACACCCACGTTCGAACTGCCCCTTCCCGTCCTCTTATAAACCTCGAGTGTTCTTCGCCCACATCCTTCGAGCATCTCAAACATGAAGGCCTCCGCCCTCCTCGTCGGCCTCGCCGCGACCGCGGCCACCGCCATCCTCGAGCCCGGCATGCCTCTACACCTCGTCTCCAACCCCTCCCCCTCCGATGCCGACGCCGCCCGCATCCCGACCTCGTACGAATCCGCCGTCATGGGCCGCCGCATCCTCGCGCGGACCAAACTGGCCGAGCTCTCGACCGTCTTCCCGGCCGGCGCGCGCTCCGCCTCGGGTGGCGACCTCTCCGGCATGCCCATCGGCCTGATGGACTACGTCGCCGACTGCGAGGGGGGCGGCAACCCCACGATTCTGGCCATCACCATCGCCACCTCCTTCAAGAACGTCCGCGCCGGCTCCAACATCTCCCTCTCCATGCACTGGATCCCGCCCTACCCGCCCGCGAAGCGCATCTCCCTCTTCTCCTCTCTTAGAAACAAACTCTTTGGCTCCTCCGAAGCCGCGGCTGCCGCCTCGCCCGACACCGTTCCCTACTCCGCCGCCAACCTGCCGCGCTTCTCGCTGCTCGGTTACCTTGAGAAGATCCCCGTCGACCCCGTCACCTCTCTCAAGCTCGCCCACTGTTTCATCGACAAGCACCCGGATGCCAAGTACTGGCTCCCCGGCAGCCCCGTCCACGAGTCCGAGTGGGTTCGCTTCGTCGTCACGTCCGTCTACTGGATCGGTGGCTTCGGCGACCGCGCCTACATCGGCTGGATCCCCCTCGATGAGTGGCAGAACGTCACCCGTGAGGAGTACGAATCCATCGAGCTTCCTGGTGAGAGGCGTGGCTGGAAGGAGTGGAGCGCAGACAGCTGGTTTGACGGCGTCGATCTCTAGCCGAGGGGCACATTCAATGGCGGTTCGGTCTTGCACGGCCTACAGCAACTGGGTTGGCCACGGGGTGGTCGATTTCGAGCGGGCGGCGCGCGTCTTTTTGGGGAGGGAGTAACGATACCAGTTCAGGGCCGAATAGTGTTTCCAGGTCTCTTCTCTTGAGGCATCGGCCCAGAATCGGCCCAGGTGCGCCTGTGGTTCCCTCTGGTGATGGATAGATGATTTGTGTTTGTTTTGCCAACTTTGCGAACTAGGTCCTTTCGCTGTAGGCTACTATTCAGGTTTTGGCATGCGATATCCGCACGAGACACACCTTCGCTAGACAAAGTCATACAAGAACACCAAAGGGTCTCTACATTTCGCGTTACATGACGAAGATAACCCGAGTGGAGGAAGCTCATCATTACGGCGTGTTATATCAGGAGGGGGTATCTTGCACTACAGCCCAGAACGTAACAATGCATACACCCGTGTCCATATTTTTTACCTCTTAGTCAGTCCTCCCGTGGAAATCAACGCTATGTATGCCTAGTGTGTACGTGGGCATGTGTACCCCGTGCGCAATCCTTCCCGAGTCCTTGACGCCCAAGCGACTGATGACATCCATCGCCTCTAAATATACACAACGAAATAACAGCAAGAAAAGAATCGATACAACTTTAGTCAACACGGATGATGACCTTCCAGGCAAGTGCGCCGGCCTCTCTGATGGCGCAAGCGAGGCAGCCCCGCCTGCGCCTTGAGATGATGGCGTTCCAGCCCTTCTCCGCGCAAAAGGCGCGGACTAGAATCTCCATATCGCTGCCAAACTGGCGACGCCGGGACTCGAGGTGCATGTTCGTCGTCGCGGGGTTGGCGCCGTTGGCGGTACGCTCGAGGATGGGAGAGGTAGGGGTCTCCTGCGTGGGGGGCTGACGCTTGAAGCCGGTTATGCAGTCAATCACCAGAACACGGGGTGTGGTGTTCGCGTTGGGGGTGTAGGAGGGCCGTCGAACGGATGAAGCGTTGAGAAGGAGATCTTTCAGTGAGGCGTCGGGCTTCTCGAGGAGCTCCGAAAGGTGGATGACGGTGTAAGTAAAGAACTTGTGTAGAGGATGCCCTGGAGATGGTTAGTCTACGTAGATTCAGGAGATGGAGTGAACCATCTTACCTGTGATGGTGACCGGCTTGGAGCTCTGGCAGCTGATGCCGCTGCCGTCCACGTCGATTTGCTGGATAGTAGGACTAGATGGCGACCTCAGAACCCTCACATGAGAAGACGGATGGCATGGATGGGCTGTGACGAAGTGTATGTCTTTGGTCAGCGCAAAGGCGCGCTCTTTCGCCTCGCCCCCAAGTTGGCCGACGGAGAACGAGATAGACGACGGGTACGTGTAGAGTTCGGGGGCTCTAGTCACATCGGATAACGGCGTCATCACTGTTTCTTCTGTCGGAGTGGACAGGGCCGAATCCACGGGTGAGGAAAGGTTGAGGGATAGCAACGAGATGCTCAGGCTAGGGGGCGGCTCGGGATAGTTGTTTTCATAAGGGATGATAAAGTCGGCGGGCAGTACCGAGCTGGGATCCCCGTCGCCCAAGATACTGGACTCGCGCTCGACACGGGCCTTTGCCCAGAGCCTGGCCTGTCTGCCAGTCTTCTTCATGTCCTCTGGGATGCTGTCAGCACCAGTCATCGAGACCTCTTGACATTTGCACAAACCTGATACTTCAGCCACGTCAATGTTGACCCAGCCGTCCCCGTGGCCTTGAGGGGTAATGTCGCTAGAGATCCATCCCATGCACTGAGCAGAACCCTTACCAGCGGCCAGAACGCGGCCGATGATGCATGCTGTACTCCAGAAACTCTTTCCACGGTACACAAACCCACCGCAGAGGTTGGCCATCGGGCCCAGTCTGGCCATTGCCTCCTTGTCGTTCTCCAACAGAGTGGACATGATCAAGTGATATAACCCTTCACCGGGCAGCACCAAGCCGGATACGTAAGATTTTGACAACCAACCTGACGGGTGCAACGCAGCAGAGATCCTGTGCCTTCCGGACGGATGGCGAGTGACCTTTGCTTCAGTTCGGCCGCCCCCGAAATAGGACGACCTCGTCGTATCGATACTCATTGGTGTTTCTGCGGGTGTGTGAATCGGCGTAGCCTCCGAGACCTTGTTGGCCGTTTCCGATATCTGCTCGGCGTAAGAGTCTGATTCAATGTCGGGCCAGCGTAGCTTCCTCGCAAAGTTGGTCAGACCGTTGACCTGTCGTTCGCTGTAGCGTCCCTGGATGGTGTAGACAGAGACGTCATCGTGTGGATGAGCGTGAATGTTATTGGGTTGCAAACTCATTTTCCCTGTCAAAGATGCGAGCCACCCACCCGAGTTGCGCTTTTGGGTGTTGGCCGGATCGACCTTCCTCTCGGTTATCTCAATGTTCTCGAGCCAAGCCCGTGCAAGGTGTAACGACCACTTGACTGTCGCGTTCGCATCCTTTTCGAATCGCTTGATCTCGGCTGGTCTAATGCTTTCGATGCCCAGCTCTTCGCCCTCCGTGATTGCGTCTAGTCTGATGAGGAGCTCGCATGAGAGGAGGATCTGGAGCAACAGCCAATACCGCTCTTCCCTGCGCTCTTCGTTTGTTTCGGCATCCTCAATGTCGATGTCGGTTTCGACGTCGTCGCCCTCAAAAGAGCCCCACAAGATCTGGCCCAAGCGGATCCTCCATTCAACGTGAGAGAAGTCTATCCAGACATTGGGTGCTGCAAGGACCTTGACAAGCGCCTGGATCTGCACAGAAAGACTGTATGGATCTTGGTGGTCGACGACACGGGTAGGGGGATGCAAGATGCCTAGGAAAAGCTCATTGTACAAGGTGTTGTGGATCTTCCCGTGAAGCTGGTTCTCCTTGTACCTCTCGCTGTTTTTGATGAGCTGATCCAAGATGGCCGTTTCATCAAGGCGGCGAAGGCCGTCTTTGGAGGCCAGCATCCCTTTGCGCTGCTCGATGATGGCATTGGCCTTGGGCCCGAGGCTGCCGAAGCCGAATTGCTCTTCCTGGAGAGCATCGCCAACGGGCATCTCGAGAGCAGCTTGGTACCCCATGGTGCCCTTCTCCAATCCTTGCATGCTCAGCATGTTAGGACGTTCTCGGCATCGCGGGGTGAAGTGGGCTCGCTTTCTCTCTCTGGCGCATCTGATTGCGGCAGGGTTCGAGTTCATGTCTCTCGTGACGTGAGGCCAGGCAGTGATGCAGCTCCAGGCGGCGTCCTCGATCTGGACATGGTCGTTCAGATCGCGGATCTCGAGAGATTCATCCCATGGGAAAGCGACCGAGGGATGTGGAGCACCGGTGTAATGGCCCTCGGAGCGAGCAAAATACTGGGGGGCACCGGAGAATAGCTTCTCAACATCATCGTCGCTGAGAGTCGCCATGATCTTGGTCAGCTTCAAGACTGGTTTAAGCGTCGGGCCATCGGCTTGCTGCTCGCTGTCGAGTGGAGGCGGGGAAGGGAGTGGCTTGTTGGGGTTAAGAGGGGGCGGCGACCGAGAAGAACGGGACTCGGCGCTGCTCTGCGGAGGGGAAACCTGGGGTTTGCTGGTAAGACACAACGGTTTTTGGAACGGTCGGACAAAGAGGATCGAGCCAATTGAGGGGAAAGCCTGGGTAGGTAGAGAGACGACAGGGCACTTGGCTGGCAGGACTGCCTGCTTCGTCTGTGTAAACAGGAGACCCTTTGTCTTGAGTGGCTTTGAGAGGCCTGAGGTGATCAAGAGCAAGCATAGAATAGCTTGCAAGAAGTAAAGAAAAACGACAAGGAGAAGAAGATGCACTCTATAGGACAAGGGCAGAGAAGGTGGGTTGACAATGGGCGTTGAAGCTCCGAGAAGCGGTGGTCACGCGGTATAAGAAAAAGGACATGCGAGGGAGCAATGGGACGTAGATCGTCAGAGTTTGAGCATCTCGAACGGACGTCACTGCTAAGCAGATTCCAAGCAGACTACTACGTACAGGCAGGAGAGATGACACGGCATGGGCCAGATGGGCAGATCAAAGTGGCCTGATGCAGCTCCCATTGATGGACTGGATATAGGGTGACTGCGGGGAAGTGACAGGGTAGGAATGAGGTGGGTGGTGGCTGCAGAGTTACAGCTGTGGCTGCCAATACTGTCTCCTCTCAAAGGGCGTCAGGTTCGGGCCGCGTCATGATGGTCCAGCCCGGCAGTGGAGTGGGGGAGGGGAAGGAGGTGCAAGCCACAGGCAGAATGGTACCTAGAGCCAAAGGGCAAGAAGGGGGAACACACCACTTGGGTATTAGGAAATGGACGGGACCCCGTCACCAGACCATCAGCCCGGGCAGGGGCCGGGGGAGAAGGTACCCACACATATTGGGAGCCGCTGCCCTGTGCGGGGGCGTCTAGTCTGTCTGTCTTGTAGTGCACGGAACATCCAGCCTTAGCCAAGACAAACCCACCGACACCGGGGTCAGACTGGTCCTGGTCCTGAGAGAAAAGGGAACGAGGAGTGACAGTGAACATAAGGTGTGGATGGTACTGGTTGTGCATACCGAGCGACAGAAGCGCCGTTTACACGTACATCTTCCCGACATGTTTGCTGCTATTCTGAGGACTTCCTCATCTTCAGCTGTATCGGCAGGTGCATCGTGAATATCAGGGGGGGCTTGGAGCCGAGACCAGACACCGCTTCAGGGACCTAGCCTGAGTAGATAATGCAGACGGAGGAAGGGAACCACCGCGACCACAAATCAGATGTGAGATAGATTTACAGGTGAACGACGTTCTCGGAAACCGAAGGCGTCAAGGTAAATGGAACAAGAAGGGGCGGTGCACGATGTACACTACCTAATTGATTGACTTGAAGGAGACGTTCGACTTACAGGAACCTTCGTTGGCGACTCGGCACCTGTTCCCCGCCCCGACTTTGTTGACGACGCTGCCGCCGACGCGCTGCGGTTGCTGCTCCGGCCTTTGTTGCGACTCAGCAGCCCCCCAAAGAGATCCCGTGTGGAGAACTTGCGATCTCGCACTCCCGTTCCCTCGGGCCCGGACGAGTCCGACAGCTGTCGTTCAGGGCCGTCTTCTCTGTCATCCTCGTGTCGTGGCGACAGTTGCGGCTGTTGTTGCAGTTGCTGCTTTTGCGGGGATACCGTTCGTTGCTGGTCATGTTTGTGCCCTCGTCTGAGCAACGACAACGACGGCATCTTGGGTGTTAAGTCGTTTGTTGTGGTGCTGGAGCTGTCGTGATGGGATAAAAGCTTCTCGCCGTGTTCGTCTCATCCGTTGGTGCTGTCCCCGTCTTCTTCTTTTCCAACGCTTCTGCCTTGGTTTTTCCAACCCGCAATTCCTCCTCGCTGCCGCCGGAAATCCTGTTCTCTTGTGGCGACCTTCCAAGCGTGAATCTTGGCTGGGGTTGCTAATCAAAAGTGGCGTCGTTCGTTGGACAAGGGAGGGGCTGACGTCTTATCGCCGACGACGGTGAACGGTGCAAATCCAAGTTCCTGCAGCGCGGTTAAACTCTCGTAGGTTGCAGCGGGAAGACGGGATGCGAATTCCAGCCAAGCAGCCGTTGCTGCTAGATACAGATGGGTGAATGCGAGTGAACGATAATGAGTTGGCACTCAAGCAAGTGAGAGGAGAGCTAGGAAGACAGGCATGAAGAAGGGAGGGGGAAGACCTGTAGATAAAAAAGAGAGGGAGAGAGAAAGAGACAGATGTAGTCTACGACAGTTGACGGCTAGGCGATGGGTTGTTAAAACAAGAAATGAATGCGAATCAACAAGAGAAACACGGCCAGATGGCTGCCAAGGCAGGGGGGTGGCACTTCGTTCTTGTTATCGTCCACTCTTCTTGCTTCCTCCTCTGCACTGGACTTCATCTAGAGAGGGCGGGCAGGCCTAAAGGCCCCCCCCCCCCCCCCCCCCAAAAGTCCAGCCCAGCACATCAAAGGTGACCCCTCTGACTGGACGGACGATTGGTGCAAATCATGACGGGATAGGACAGGCGAGGATCATGGCCATGCCCACTTTGTTGGTGTACCCCTCGTTCCAGCCATACGCCGCATACCTACACCAAGCAAGGGCAGGGGGGGTTTCCATGCTCAGCCCCTACTGCGGGAGAGAGCGTCCTTGACTTGATTACTTCACGTATCTGAATATAGCAGCCGACCCTGGGAGCCAGAGGTGCGGCCAGGGCAGAAAGAGGGCGCGAGGAGGAGGCAGCCGTGGCCATGGCCGTGACCCGAATAGCAAGAGGGGTGGTGGGCAGCAGGGCAGTCTCAGATCTCTTGGCAAGTCCACGTCAGATACCCATGGTGAGGCAGGCTGGTAGGGAAATTAGGAGAGTCGTGGAGACGGCAGAGAAGAAAAAGCATGGGGGAAAATCAACAACAACGACAAAAAAAAAAAAGCCCATCAAGGAGCTTCCTTTCGTTCGTCATCTGTGCGCCTCAGTGGAACCGGGGGAGGGTGGCGGGGTGCGTAAGTATGGATGTTCCGCGCTTTGCAGGCATGGATGGCCGTCGTGTACCCTGCGTGTTGTGATTTCATCGGTCGCTCGTCCCGTACTAGCTATCTACCTAGTTTATAGGCCATGTCCCAGATTCAAATGACACTGTCCTCCTGCCCTCCCGCCTCGTATCTTCTCGTGGGAGCTAGCGCAGAGCGGGAAAGCATGGAAGGGCAGGAAAACAACAAGAGATGACGGCCAGCAAAGTTCCATGGTCGCTTCGGTTGGTCGCAGGGCAGCCACAGGGGGGGGCGTCATGTTCTTGGTTTGACGGCTAAGCTCATTTCACCGAAACAGTACCAGCCAAAGTTACGCCTTTCTTCATCATCGATGTCAGACTGCATAGAGGGTGCATTACAGCCCTGCCGCGCTCACCCTCCTGCTTGCTTTTGCCTCGCATGGCTATTTGCATGCTAATGGCAAGGTCCGTTGCCAGCGATAAGCTAGAAAGATGCGCAAAGAGAGTCTGAAAGCGAAGAAGACCCGGCAGGCAAGGGGATCCATGATCGCCAGGTTGCAACAAAACACGACATTCGAGTCCCGTGTACGGATATCCGGCTACAACTCACCGGTGGGCCTGGGGCTTCTGGAAAAAGGAAAACGAAGAACGAAACCGAAGAAACCGAGGAAGGATGGGGCCGGCTCCATCTGTGGAATCTGAGTGGGAAATGAGGCAAGAAATAAATACCCATATAGCGGAACAGAACCAGAAAATGTCGAGGGCAGGTGCCGCCAGCCAGCCAGCCAGCTCGCGGGCATGTGAATATTTCCGAGACACGATCCTCGCTGATCCTCCAGAACAGGGGTGTATCTCTTCCTCTCTTCCTGGGCGTGTGTCTCTCTGACTTTTTTTCTTCATCTTTTTCTGATTAGGTAGGTAGTTATGAATGAATGATCCGCATCCCACACAAACTACTCTCCCTCCACTCCCACGGCCAGTCAGATGCCATGTCACATAAGTGTGGCACCGTGATGGCTCCCGTCTCAAGGATGATGAGCTGAAGGGATTCGTCGTGTTGCAGCTGCGGTGGGCTTTCCCGCATGGTGTTTGCTCATCTGGGTTGTGTTTGTTTCCTTCTCTGGGCAATGGATCAAAAATAAATCAAGATAAGTTTTTAACGCACACCGAAATCGTTGGTTTCTGATTCTCACGCCCCTCCCCGAGTACTTCTCTGCAAAGCATATACAAGTCGAGGACGAGGCAAAAGAAGAAGAAAAAGAAAGGAAATGGAGGGGGGGGGGGGGGGGGGGGGGGTCGGGAGAGAAGCAAGAATGACATTAGAGGTCGCATCTGTATCTGCTAGGAGAAGATGCAAGTACCGGTATACCTAACGTCTGCAGAAGCTAGTGCAGAAGTGGAATTACAAGGACCGATCTAGGGGTGCTGTGCCAAATATCGCGAATGGATGTGATCCAGTAGATCATTCCTTCTCCATACTTGAAGCTGCCGTCATCACTGTCTTTGCCAGCCCGTCACACTGACCCCCGAGCGCTGTGCCACCATTAGGGTAGACCCGAAGGGGCGCCGCGTGTGGCTTGGAGACATGTCCATCTTCGGCAACTCAGCCAAGCCAGCCGCCCCCGGGGGCGCAAGCATCAAAGATCATCGTCCCCCTTTGCTTCGGCCGTTGTTCTCGAACGCTGAGCTTCGGCTGGGGCGTCACCAATACCTGAACGGGTGGGTTCACAAGGACCCGTTCCTGACGGTTCCTGACGGGGTGGGTGTTGGGGCAAGCTTCTATCCTCTCAGCTGACGATAAGTTTGGGAAGTCTGCACCACATGTTGAGACACCCGTCTCTAGTCCATGGGGTCTCGTGTCTTTCGCCTACTTGGACTATTATTCCAAGGCCCTCGCGGAAGGGCCGGCGACAAAGGGGAGCTTAACCGCGCGCGGCAAACGACATACATTACCTCGCTGCTTCGGCGAGAACGACACACGGCACACGACATTGGCGGAACCGAACCAACCCCCCCCCCCCCCCCCCCGGCTGTGACTTGGTCAACTCAGGTCCCCATCCCAAAAGCACAAGCACCGGACAGCTGGGGGCCTGATCTGCATTGACATGAGACGACATGCTAATATGGTTCCGAGTGTGACAACCATCAGAACCCGTGGGCTGTTTACTTTCTCCATCGTACTCGAACATCTTCGTCTCATATCCTTGAGAGCCCGAAAGGGGAAAGGGTGTCTTTCTTTTTTCCCTTTATTGAAAAAAAAAAAAAATGAATAAAAATTGATAGGTTCGGCTAAGCTCCGTACATCATCTTGGAATGGCATAAGCCGCTGTCATAAGCATCACAAGATCGCAAGGGGCCACGAGAATTGTCTTCGGAGTTCCCGCACGTCCCAAGAACAATTTTGATGATAGCCAGCAAGATGGCCCACTAATAGTGAAGCCCTTTCCTCCATTGACGCGATTTCAATATAGAAGGTTACACCGTATATGACCTTGACTGGATGGGCTGTTGAGGCAATCTCGTCCAGAATTGGAAAGGTTAAAGGAAACTCTAATGCAGCCAGCCCCAATCTCCCCTTGCGATGGAGTATACGCAGCCAAGAAGCCCAGGAAAGCCGATGACTCCGTGAAAACACTTGCAGTCGTGCCCCACAATCGCGGCAGGAACGCGCCATAAGTTGCTGAAACGGCTGCGCCGAAGATGCGTACGGACTCGGGCTGCCGACTGGTCAAGATCCCCGTACCGACCGAACGTGGTTGTGTGTGCTGTGACATGAAGTTCTTCTTCAAGGGGAAGCAAGGGGCCTTTAATTTGAGTCCATGGCGGTGTAAGGGGGCACCACAATCGAGCATGGGCGAGTGATTCGTCCAGCAAGTCACCCGCACTATTCAGACCTGGTTGCAACCCACTTACCCGTCCGTCGTTCGGCGTGTGACGATACATATCTCGGCGCCGGCACCATGATATTTATGCCAATCGGCGGGCCGCTAGACCGCGGTGTGGCATTAAGCAACTAGATCGCCCGGCTGCTAGTTTAGTTGATGTCAAAACCTGTTACAGACAAAGAGACAATGCGTGGCAGCTGGGGCCAGCAACACGGCGCACAGATCGTTTGCCGCAAAGGGGCAAGCAATGCTCGGAATTGTCAGAGGGTTTCCGAACTACATAGTAACTCGGAGGGCTTTTGGAGTGCTGCCATACAGGGCGACATAGGTTCTGACTTTTCTTCTTTTGAGTTTTTTTGGGGGGTTTTTTTTCTTTCTTTTCTTTGTCCATTTTTCATTATAATCCGCCTTAATTTCAAGCTGCCCGGCACACGCACGGAACGGCTTGTGGTGGTAATTTCAGGGTATCATTATTCTGCCTCCTCGGCCGTTCATCTAAAATCATCCTCTCCCTTAGAAAAAGCTTGCGCGCACATATGTAAAGACGTGCGAGTCAGCTCGTCATAATTTATTCGCACGGAGCGCCTGCTCCTGGCACGGTCAAGTTGGAGGCGTCGTAAAACGGTAGCCAAATCGGTGACGATGAGCTGGCAATAGCCGTTCTCAGGCCGGCGGTGTGTCGTGTACCACGATAAGGAGATATTTCGGATCAGGTACGATGACCAGCTCCTGTTTCTTTGTCCGTAGCCTCAGCAGCTTCAACTCGTCCTGTTCCCCATGGTCAGCGCTCCATCCAAGCTCTCGATACGTCACCACGGTTAAAGGGACCATGTCCTCTTACCTCGGTGTCCAGGTCCAGCACTAGAGTACCCGATGCATTAACCCAGTTCCAAACCTTGGCAGCAAAATCCTCCAGGCCCTGCGGTTGTTCTTCACCGTTTTGTTGCTGTCCGGCGGCGCCCTCGCCAGAGAACGAACCCTGCCCTGTTGCCAAAGTTGCCGCGTTGAAAGAGGAGAGCTGGCCGCTTGTCCGCAGGATCGCGCCCGTGACTCGATCGAGAATGACAGTGGCCTTGACGCCGGGCTTCTTGGAGAGTCGCGTGAGGGTCTCGTCCAGCGCGTCGGGTCCGTTGTTCTGCGAAGGGGGGGCACATTCTTGTTTAGCTATGACGCCATCGCTGTAGAGGGGTTCGAAGTCGCTCTCACGGTTACTACTGTGTCGGCCATGGTTTCTGGCTAGCGGTGTCTGGAGATCAAAAACGGCAGGGTGTCATTCGTCCGTACGTCTCTTGTAGTCAAGCAATTGAAGATTCGAAGTTTGACGTCGGTTAAGGGTGATGTAACCCTTTTGTCTTCTAGGCAAATGTGTGTGTTCCCAAAAGGCTGGGTCGGCTCTCGTCTGTAAGGCTGGATAAGCCAGAGTGCCCAAGGTACTACACCTTAACTGGAGCTAGGATTCACGGGGTAACAGCCTACCAACGTGGTGGGGGGGCGGCTAGGAGAGCTTGGGTTTGACAAAGTTCTGCCGTCGCTGACCGCTGAAATTTTCTGGCTCCCGATCAGGCAGGGGTTTGACCCTTTCGGTACAAGCCATATCTCATGTGAAAACTTATTGCCATCGCAGCAGCCGTAATCGCAAAATCCTGCTTGCTAAGACAATCAAAGCGTGCGGATATTTTGTGTTATTCCCAAAGCCTTTCGAATCAAAGGCATTTGAACAACAGCCATCATGGGTTCCAGCACGAGAAAAAAGAAGGAAAAGGCCAAGGACTTTGCAGTAAGATGATCTCAGTGAGATGTGGCTGAATCGCATCGAAGAGCTCCCTCTGATGTCGGTGTATCTGACACTCTCCCACAGAAACCAAAGTTCAAGGTCGGAAAGACAAAGGTCAAGCCTGCCAACTTCACAGACACTAGCTTCAAAGCAAAGTCCATTGCCATGGGCCATCAGAAGCTTTCGACTGAAGCCCCTGACAACGCAACCCAGTTCAAGCACAATCTCTCTTTGGCCTCGACATCACGAGCAGACAAGCAGCGTAAGGAGTCGTTGGCACATCTGACTAGTCAAGTGTTGGCTGGCAACAACCCCGTCGGAACCGCAACAGTGTTGGGCAAGCTTCTGCCCTTGGTCTCCGACGCTTCGGGGCCGGTACGCACCCAGTTGCTGAAGCTTTTCAAAGCCCTACCCGACGCAGAAGTCAAGCATCACGCCGAGAGGTGCATCATGTACACTCGCGCTGGCATGACCCACCTCTCCGCCGACATCAGCAATGACTCCCTATCCGTCCTCGAGTGGCTATTGGATGTCGCCGAAAACGAAATCGTCAGCTGCCCCGGCGGCTGGGTCAAGACACTGAACAGCTTCTGTGCGCTGATGGGCTGGACCGTCAAGACCAGCACCGGGTGGTCAACCGCACCCAAGACGGGTCTGCGGACCAAGGACGCGCAGTCTCATGCAAGGCAGATCGCCGTCCTGGCCAGGTTCCTCCAGGCCGGGCTCAAGCCTGAGATCGCCGCGCCGAGCAATCCCTATGCTCGCGCCGACAACATGTACCGCGTCCCTCGGACACCGAATCCATTTGCGTATCTCAACCTCTTCGGATCCCGCCGAGACGAGGAAGCCGAGATGTACAACGACCGTGAATCCCGGCAGCGTGTTTTCCACAGGAGGTTCTTGGACTCCTTCAACCGTGGCGTAGAGCAGGCCAAAAAGGAGGGCGGTGCCATCGGAAGATCAGCGGTCCAGATGGACCTAGCCCTGACCGAGGGCATGGGGGGATATGAGGCAACGTCCGCTGTTGAGCCTCAAGACCTCCTTGACTTGTGGTGAGGCATTGAGCCCGCACTGGTTCATTAACTATCCGTAAATTCGGGGCCGTGAAACCCTGCAAGGCGATGTCATTGTCTATGGACGATCGTGACCTTCGTTAACCGAGCGTATTCCCCTACATGATTCAGGTGGTCCAACATCTCACATACAGTGGGAGTTCGGCGCCACATATAGACGTCAGCAGCGGCCGTCCGTCTGAGCGCCACAACGGCTGGTAGGGCAGAAGAGGTGGCTTCGATATTGCCATGCTTATCCACTCTTCATCAAAGAGATACCATATACACGAGGGAAATGACTGGCGAGGAATACGATACTAGCATCATGCAAGGTGTCCACGGAAATTCCGGGCTATTGGCTAGTACAGCATTCGTTGGATGGATACAATGATACCCGTCTCACTTTGGTGGGACCCTTATTCTCCAAAGTTTACCTTTGCTTCAAGTTGTTGATTGTTGAAGTAGTTCCTCAGAATAGACACGGCGAAAGTTCTGTCTGCCTCCGGCATCCGACTGTCTTATATGCCAAGGAGGGTCGTTGTGGTTTCACTCATGTAATCAAAGCGATGGCGAGCAGGATGTTTCCCGGACCCTCCAAACCAATCATCTACAAAGAAAACCTCGCCTCTTTGGGTTCTTGTCAAAGCCCTGGTCAATACTGCATTAGTCCAAAGGGCGATTGATGTACAACTCTCGATAGACGAAGAGCACATGATATTCATATCTGCGTGGTACCAGCTTATGCTTAGTGTTTACTTTGGTCCGGTACATCACGATGGTCAATCATCTCCAGCCGGGCCAGACTCTCCTACCTCAAGGCAGAAGGGTCCATTGTGCCTTCCTCCTCCTCTCAAGAAGGAGATTCCGAACTGCCTTCCCACCTTCCTCCAGTCAACTGGCCGCCCTCATTCGTATTTATACCTTGCTTGCTTCTTCCCACCTCTTCTTTTCTCCACCCCAACGCAGTCTGACGAAAAGGATCTCGTCAGGAGGCCACACTTTGACATTCTGAACCCTGCTTTGAGAGGTAAGAGACTTCAGTTTTTTCCCTTCCGCAAAGCCATCTCCTATTCTCACCTCCATCATCACTACGATTGTTGTTTTTTCAACTTTTTGTCGCCTCGGCCTGCGCGTCTTTATAACCATATACCGAGACGCTCTGTAGTGGGAAAGCTTTCACTTGCAAACCCCATCGACAGCAGTTTTCGTCTTCACACTTTCTTTTCCACAGACACTGAGGTACACATCTCTCCCAACTTTGATATTCCCTTCTCCTTCCACTTCTTGCCTTCTAACCGTACTCACTCCTTCCTTCCCTCAATTCAAAGGCAGTTCGTATTGCCCGTAGCTTCTCCTACATCGCTTCCACCGCACAATACCACTCTTCTCTTGCAAGCATTGCTTCCTTTTCTTCCCAACTTGACTAACTGGAGTACACAGCCAACCAAAGGTTTTCGCCTCGTCCAGCCCTTCCTTCAATCAGCAAAATCGCATGCCGCATTGGACAAACGATCCTGGTAAGTGGGCATGAAACATCACATTTGGCGATTCGGTATGATCTAATCGTTGCGAGCCAAACAGACTTTCCTCGGTTAGATATGTCCGCCTTCGACACCACCGATATGCAGTCTGCTCTCCCATCCGATGGTTTGGATAAGAAGGCGCCTGCCGCTGCCCTTGACAGTGAGGGCAAGGCGTGGACTACGCCTCTTCCTTACGATTACGAGGAGTTTTCCAAACAGGGCCCCGTTGAGACCGCTGATTGGGAGGGCAACGGTGCCGTCTACGAGTGGAACGATGAGTTCGGCGATGTTGGTCCTAAGTTCCCGGAACTTGAGCTGGCCCTTTTCGGTGACCCTGATACCCGCCGCGACCACACCGGCATCGACTTCTCGGCGTAAGTATTCCAACCCCAAGTTCTGAACGCGACTCACAAATTCTAGCATCTCCACCATCGAAGTCACACAGGAGGGTACCATCCGGGTCCACCCTGTTCAGTCCTACAAGGATGCCGGCCTACATCCCGTCATGATGGAAAACGTGGAGCTTGCCGGATATGACGCTCCTACTCCCATCCAGAAGTACACCCTGCCAGCCATCCATAAGGGCCTCGATGTAGTTGCCGTCGCTCAGACTGGCAAGTCATCTCGACACTGTGCTTAGATTATTTGACCGTTATGGCTAACATGCAAAATAGGTTCCGGCAAGACCGCCGCCTACCTCATTCCGGTACTCAACAAACTCATGGGCAAGGCTAAGAAACTGGCTGCTCCTCGACCCAACCCTGCTGAGGTCGAGCTTGGTCAGTTGTGGGTTCGCGCGGAGCCTCTGGTGGTCATTGTTTGCCCCACCCGCGAGCTCGCCATCCAGATCTTCAATGAAGCCCGTAAGTTCTGCTATCGCACCATGCTTCGTCCTTGTGTCGCCTACGGCGGTGGTCCGATCCGCGATCAAATCCAGCAGCTCGGCAAGGGATGTGATGTCCTCATTGCATCCCCTGGTCGCCTATGCGACTTCATTCAGCGCCCGGATGTTCTTTCGCTTCGCCGACTGCGATACATGGTCTTCGACGAGGCTGATGAGATGCTTCACGATGACTGGCGCGAGGAGTTCGATGTCATCATGACTGGTGGTGGTAAGTGCCATTTTCCTCCCTTTGCCGCTTATACCATGGGCTGCCGATCCTTACTTTCTTTACAGAGCAGCAGGAGGGCAACATCAAGTACATGCTCTTCTCAGCCACCTTCCCTAAGCCTCTTCGCGATCTTGCCAAGGAGCATCTCTCTTCTTCCAGTGTTCGCATCAACATTGGCCGCATTGGCAGCACCCATGCCAACATTATGCAGAGAGTCTTCGAGGTAGCTCCCTTCGACAAGAAGACAGCTCTCAAGGAGCACATCAATTCGCTGCCTGCTTGCCGCACGATCATCTTCGTCAACAGCAAGCGTACGGCTGATGATCTCGACGACTTTTTGTACAACATAGGATTTCCTTGCACATCGATGCACAGCGACCGCACTCAACTTGAGCGTGAGGCTTCCATGCGCGCTTTCCGTGCCGGAAAGTCCCCCATTCTGATTGCCACTGGAATCAGCGCTCGCGGCATCGACGTGAAGAATGTGAACCATGTCATCAACTATGATCTTCCCAGCATGGACCATGGTGGCATCGAGGAGTACACCCACCGAATTGGTAAGGCGCTCTGGCTGTTAGCCTTATTGTCTTTATTACACAGCGCTAACAACCAGAAAAGGTCGCACAGGTCGCATGGGCCAGCGGGGTATAGCTACCTCTTTTTACACCGAGCGTGACGAGCCCATTACCAGTGTTCTCGTTCGCACCCTCTTGGAGACGAAACAAGAGATCCCCCCTTTCCTCGAACCTTACAAGCCTACCGGAAAGGGCCTGGAGCATCTCAAGTTTGAGACCGAGAGCGACTTTGACCCCGAGGAGGCTGGTGTTGCCCACCTTGGCGTCTCTGGTGGTGATGGAGGCTGGTCCAACGAGGACTATGGCGGTGACGATGCTGATGTTGCTGATGGTGCGTGGGGTGGTGGTGGTAACGGCGGTGGCGATGATGCCAGCAACGAGACCAAGAAGGAGGAGCCCGAGGCCGCTTCTGCCTGGGGCGCTTCTTCTGGCGGTAATGCTTGGTGATTAGATATAACTGCATTTTCCAGCGAGCCTTGGGTTACGTCGAAGGGTGACGATCATACGGGGACAGATGTGACGAAAATTATTGGGGCGGTCTATTCAGAATGCTTTGATGAGGTTGCCAAAATGGAATAGGGCTGCAGCTAATGATTCATATCCATCTTGCTTGATACAATGCCGTTAATTCCTTGCCCAGGGTTTGATGTTGTCATGTATGTCAACCTACACCCTTATCTCCCTGTGTTAGAACAGGTCGTGTTATCTCTGAGGTTGCAGCACGGCGCCTGGAGAGCCTGCCTGAATAGGGCGTTACTGTCGGAGGAACCGGAAGAGTGGCCACGTTTCGCAATAATCAACTGTGAGCCGATGATTTATTTACTTGCTTGTCCACAGATATAATGTGACCAACTCCTCCCTGTAACAACGCCGTCGTCTCTCAGGTTCACTCACCTTCCTTCGAGGTGGCGCGAGTTACGCCTGTCACGTATTGGTCTCGGCAGGCTCTTGTGTATGTAAAGGGCGCTCCTGTGGCGCGTTAACGTTTGCCTCGATACCGGCGGCGCTATACATCGTCCACAGCCTCCGTGTGCGTGGAGACGGGCGCGTCCGAGAGCGTTGTTGCACAAGAGAGACGAGAAAATATGTAGACTGTCGTTATAACCTACTTCACCCAGAATGAGAATTTGCGGACTAAAAACAAAGTTCGGGTGGGGAGACAAATATCTAGGAAATGGATCGGCCAGGTTAGATGAAGGCAATTCAGAAAGCTTCGAAGCAATGCGGGATGCTGTGAATTAACCTATATACATGTGCTTCTGGTCCGCCACCTCTAATACTTCATACATGTCATTATGTAGCTCCCGCGTTCTCCTCAGCCATTGAATCAAATGTTCTTCGTAATGTCGAAAAGTCCCTTGAGCTGTCCTACAAGGCCCTGTGCATATCCCACGTTTACAACCCCTCTCGTGAACCGCCAACTGCGCTCCTGATCCGGCACAGGATACCTGACAGGTGGCGGGATGGAGGTGCGAACGCCCAGCCAGCCGAAGCGGTCGACACAAATGCTCTTGATGTTGCAGAGGCCCCTAAGCCCCTCCTCGCCAGCGAAGCGTCCGTAGCCAGAGCCTCCGACGCCACCGAATGGAAGCTGTACAGCATAGGTTGCGCCAAAGTCATTGATGGCTACCATTCCAGTATTGAGGCCATCAACGACGACGCCGAGTACGGGGTCGTTGTCGCTGCCAAATATGGAAGCGCCAAGACCAAAGTCTGGCGCGTTGGCCACGGATAGCACGGACTCGGCATCCGGGCCTGGAGCGCGCATGACGGTCATGACGGGACCGAAGCATTCCTCGTTGGCAATATCCATGTCTGGAGTAACATCAACGAGAAGTGTTGGGGTGAAGTAGTGGCCCTTGGGATATTCGGGATGGATGTGGCGCTTGCCACCGGCAAGGAGACGAGCACCTTGTTTAAGAGCCTTTTCGATGAGGGCCTCCAGCCGATCAAAGTTAGCATCGGAGATCATGGCTCCCACATCTGCAGTGGGGCCCAGGCGGAGGGCCTGAACTTTCGGTGCAAGCGTGGAAACCAGCTGTTCGTAAAGCTTTGGCGTAGCAATGATTCGCTCAATGCCGATGCAGTTCTGACCGGAAGCCTGGAAAGTTCCGCGCATGAGAATATCAATAACACGGTTCAAATCCTTGGCGGCAGAGTCGAGAACAATGGAAGGATCCTTGCCACCAAGCTCAGCGATGAGAGGCGTAAGCGACTTGGCAGCCGACGCGGCAACCTTCAAGCACACAGAGCGGGAACCAATAAAGGTCAAGTGAGATATCTTGGGGTGGGAGGTTATGTGGTTAGCTGTCTGGGGCCAGCACACCACCGTCTGGATCAAGGCAGGGTCATATCCGTGGGCGATGAGGGCACCCCTCGCGATACTGGTGAAGTACTGCGAGCTCCATGCCGTCTGTTCAGAGACCTTGACCAGAACACCGTTCCCAGAAAATATGCTCGAAATGATGGGCCCAATGAGGTTGTGGAACGGGTAGTTCCAGCTCACGAGCGCTCCAACCACGCCAAGCGGTTCATACCGCACCTCGTTCTGCTTGTATGCCATGAGGAGGTTCGTGGGTCGCGGGCTCGGGCGGAGGGCTTTCTCGCCATGATTCAACGTCCAGGTGAGCTTCTCGACGGTGACGAGGATCTCGCCTAACTGGGCGTCGACCATGGTTTTGCCGGAGTCGAGGCAAGCGGCGCGGCAGATGGCTTCCTGGTTGTCAAGGACGTGTTGTAGCATCGTACGGAGCACGCGACGGCGCTCGCGGAAGGTCGTCTTCTTCCATTTCGTCTGCGCTGCGTGGGCTGCATCAACAGCACGGTCGATGGACGCCGGGGTAGAGGGGTTGATGAAGCCAAGAAACTGGCCGGTAGCCGGGGCGTAGCACTGAACTGCGGTCGTGCCGGAGATCTGGGTGGGTAGAGTTTGCGTCAGCCATATGGGGCACTCCGTATGCTTGGTATTGTGATATGTCGTACCTTGACGTTGGTCTCCTCAACGATCGAATGCTCGTCAGGAATCTTGGGCGGAGGGACGGTGTAGGTGATGGCTTTGTCTTCGTTCCAAGCCTGCGCCAAGTGTAGGAGCCAGATACTGAAGGCAATTGCGACCGCAGCGAAGAGGTACTGGGGAACGCCGGGTCTGCCACCAATACGTCGAGTTAGCTTTAGTTTTCCGAGAGCCAGAAGTGGCGCCATTCAGCAGGCAGTGGCATACGGGATGGCTTCAATGTACGAGTTGATCCGCTCGGCGACCTCGTCCAAAAATTGTGTGTCCATCTTGGAGTCGACCTGAGCCGGGTGTTGCGGCGGCTTGTTGTTGCAAGGCCGTCGTCCTCTGAGGTCGCAATTGTGATTTTGTTCCTGCGGATAGGGAGAGTGAGAGAGGGTGGGAGAGAGTCTCTCCAAGAAGATCCCTGAAGTCGCTCAGTTGCTCTTGGCATGAAATCAGCAGGAGCTCGGGTGAGCTTGCCCCGGTCGAGTCCCGCCTTCTACCTTCGCTAGTGGCTACTGCCTATTGTGACTTTAGCCTTTGGTAGGGGTCAAGCGTTGATACAGGGGCCGCGACACCGTTGATGGTACCTGCGTGTTAGACGGGGAACCCCAGCATCATGACGGACCCCGACGGCTGTGTTACATATGACTGATAGGCGGTAGAATTGACCTTGTTGATGAGATTTAATGGAACGACACAGAGATACATTTGCATTCAGTCACCATGGACCAGAATCAATATCCTGTGTTAACAGTTTACGTAAAAGTTAACTTCTATCTCCTTTTGCTCGTCTCCAAGCTCCTCTGTTATTATGTGTTTCGGCTTTCGCGTATTTCTCCTGCTACTGTTCGCGCCTATGTGCAAAGAAGGCAGTGCCGGCACGACGTGTGCCATCACTTTGGTCAGCCCACCAAGCCACAACGCCCCTGAGGCCCCCAAGTAGAGGTTCCAGCATCTGCAGCATGGACTGTTTCCTAGCGCCCCCTCTTCACTCGATTCTAGGATGCACACCAAAACTTGCACGGAAAATGCCGTCCGAGTCTTGCATTCCTTTGCTTCCGTGAACGCCGTCGCAATAGGAATCCCCTATACGATAATATCAAAACAAAAGACCAAAAAGTGAATAATAAACCTGCAAAACCGAAAGAGAAGCAGACGGGAGGTTGAGGGTGACAAGGCATCGGGTGTCGCTGGTACGCGAGGGTGAGAATGTCGTAGATCGCTCATGCAGATCGTGATGCATCGGGGGATATCAACAAAACAGCAAAAAGAAACAATGCCCTGCCTCGAGGGCGAGGCGAGGTATAATACAAGGATAATTCGAGTCGGTCGTGGGGCAGAGCGGGCGCTACATGTTGGCACTCTTCGTCAATGACAGACCTCGTAGTCTTCGAGGATGGAACCGGTCGCTATAGGATTGGCTCGACTCTATACGGGAAAGTCGGGCGGCAGACGTAAAGTCGTTACTGGCCTCGAAACTGGCTCGTGTGCGGTCCATCGAGGCGCGGATTCGGTCGTAAGACGGTCTGGCTCGATCGTACGAGGGGCGAGATCGTTCGAAGGAGGCTCGCATTGGAGGGGTCATGTCGAGGGACTGCGTTTGCGCCATGTCCATCGATTGGCGATGACCTGTGTAATTGGTGCCATCGCTGCCGTTTTGGCTCCGCGGGTTGTGCGTCGTGTGTGTAGCAACTGAAGGTGGATAGATTGGCCTTCTGTCCTCATCCACACTGGCATAGTGCATATGCTTACCCTTGCGTGAGCTGTCAGACGAGTTTGACGGTGTCTTGCTCGCCTCCTGCTCCCCAACGACCGTCGTCGCTTCGTCGCCCTGGGCGAGACGAGAGAATTTGCCTTGACGTTCTTGCTCGCGGATGATGTCGACGTCGTAAGGAAAGTACACCTTTTGAATCGCCTTGATCGCAAACCGGGGGAAGAGGCTAATAACGGGTACAATGAAGAAGACTGCCCAAAACGATGCCTGGGCGTATACCTGCGGGGCGGCCTGGTAAAAGAACATGGATGCCTCGGTAGCCGTGTAGATGCCGGTGACGATAAAGATCATGACGTCACTCAGGACGACAATCGTTATCATGATCCAGTCCCAACGGTATGTGTTGATGAGAATGTAGGCGTTGATAACGAAAACGGCAGGGTGCGCAATGTAGGCGCCGAGTCGCGTCCTGTCTTCGATGTTCAAGCCGTTCTTGGTGACGAAACTCGTGCTAACCACAGTTAGGTACGGAATGTAGAAAACCATGACGGATTGGTAGACGCCGTCAATCATATATAGCCTATAGGCAAATTAGCAGCGCATCCACGGCCACAGCTGTGACTAAACTTACCAGAACTTGGTCTGCGTCCACTCCGCTCGTTCGATGCCCCGGCGATACAGCTGGGGTACTGCGAGCGAGACCTTGTCCGAAACGTCTTGATCCAAAACCCCCATGACTACGACCGGGACCGAGGTGAAGAGCAGGTTGAAAAGCAGAATGTAGGTGTACTCGTAGATATATGTGACGTCAAAGTCACAGTAGATTTGATACCAGAAGATACCAAATACCCAGACCACGTTTTTGTAGAAGAAGTTGGCGACGGTCTCCCCGAGCCGGCGGTATGACCATCGACCATGAACAAGGACCAGCCGCGAGAGGAATCGGAATTGGGCGATCGCATAGTCCGATGACATGACGGCCTGTCGACCTTCCTCGCCGGCAATGCCGACACCGACATCCGCCTCTTGAATCATGGCGACGTCATTAGCACCGTCTCCAATGGACAGGGTCATGACATCGAGGCCGTTCTTCACCATGGACACCACAGCCGCCTTTTGAGCAGGGCTGACACGGCAGCAGAGGACCGACTTGCACTGCTTGCAAAGAAGCAGAAACTTTTGCTTTAGGGCGTCGTGAAGAACCCACTTGAGAGAGAAGCCATCGATGACGAGGCCGTGTGTTGGGGCGGGAGGCTCGTGGTTCTTCTTAGCCTTCGCCAAATCATCGTCGTCGCCCGTCATGCCGAATTCCTGGAGGTACTTGTCGAGTTCCTGTTCCAGAATGCTGAGGAAATGGTCGTCGGGAGTTTCGCCGGTCTCATCTTCGTCAACTTTCAGGTGAATGAGTTCCATATCGTTGTTCAAAAGGTTACAAGAAAAGCCGATGTTGATAGCCGTTTCAACTTTGTCGCCAGTGAGAACCCAGAGCTTGATACCGGCGTCGCCAAGGAGGGCGATGGTGTCCGGCACGCCATCTTGCAGCCTGTCTTCAATGGCGGTACCTCCGAGCAGAGTCAGCTCGCGTTCGAGATGGTCGGCAACCTCCTCCATCCTCTCCTCTCGATGTTCCAAGGCTGAGGCAGCGATATCGTATTCTTTGCGCCAAGCCTGGTATTGCTGCTCGGTAAGCTCGCGTTGCGCTATGCAAAGCGTTCTCAAGCCTTCACGGGCGAACATCTCAAGGTGCTCAGCGGTGGCCTTGCGGAGCTCTTGCTGCTCGCCCCGCTTGAGACGCGAATAGATGATACTGTCTGCTCCCTTACAGATAAGGAGGATTCGGTTGTCGGGCATCCGCACAATCGCGCTCATTCGCTTTCTGCTCGAGTTGAACTCGATGGTGTTCAGTATGGGGTAAAAGCGATCCTCGCCCATGACGTTCAGGTTGATACCCTCCTGAGAGCTACCAAGCACCGTGAAACCCATGTCACGGGCCGTCGCAACTAGCGCCGCCTCATCAGGGGACTGCGCCTTGAAGTTCATCTTCGGCGGCGAGCCAGGTACCTTCTCTGCAATAACTGTATGGCACAGGGCGAGACAAAGCATGAAATGCTCGTTTGCTATCTGTTGCTCTTTGCCGGAGTCGCCCGCCAGATCGGCAACAAAGTCAGGGGCGATGAAGGTAAGATCCTCGTCGTGGAGATAAGGGTTATTGTGCAGGTCTCGTAGGCCATCGACCGCACGGACTTTAGCATCCGCAATCTCGGCTCGAGCTTCAGCAGCCTCCTTCTCAACATCGACGCCCAGTCGCTTTTGCATGCCAGCCTGTGCCTCCGTGTAAGCCTCGCCGTAGGGCTGCCCGTTGATGGTGGCTTTCTTGAACTCCATGACATTCTGCGTCAATGTGCCAGTCTTGTCCGAGAAGATGTATTCAATCTGGCCCAGATCGTCGGAGATGTTCCAGGATTTCGGAATACAAGGTTGGTCGAGCGGCTCGTAGTACATCTCGACATCGCTGTAGATGAAGATTGCTTGAAGTAGTCGGACGATTTCAAGGGTGATGTAAAGCGCAATTGGGATCAAGTTCTGGAAGACGATGATGGCCGCCCAAAAGGTGATAAAGCCGGACATGGGTGCCGAGTCTCCTATCGACCCGAAGTCGAAGAAGTGCAACGAAGCATCTGTCTTCGCCCACGCAACACCGTTGATAATGGCCGACAAAATACACAGGATGAACAGAAAGCCAAAGTTGCAGATGACGTTCCAGTTCATCTCCCGAGCAATTCGAGCGCGCTTACTGGGAGTGATACCAGAGTTAATCATGATCTTGGTGTCGTGTCCGGTAAAAGCGACCACTCCGAGGGCCCACTCTGTGTTCCTAAGATTGCATCCACGGAGGAGCATATTGTCAATCGAAATAGGCTCGGTCATCAGTTCGGGTTCCGCCTCGTCGTCGAAGGATTGGTACCATCTGATAGCACCGTTATATTTGTAAAGGTTGGGCTGGGGGGCTTCACTTTCGATCCAGAATTGCGCTCGTTCGCAATCTCTCGCGTGCTTCAAAGACCTGCCGCACCTGAGGGCCTGTCGCACTTTCAAGTTCGTCTCACCGTCCAAATTCTTCGTCTCGACGTAGCATGCTCCGTCTGGGTCGGATGTGGACAGGACAATGATGTCAGCTGGGAGCTCATCATCGTTGTAAATGCGCACAAAGTCACCGACTTTAAGGTCTTTCCAGTGATCTTTGTGGAACCGGGCCTCGCCCTTGCTCGGCAAGTTTCGGTTAAGCACATCTCCCTTGCGCTGCATCAACTCTCTTGCTCGCTTGTGGTCGTCTGGCTGAGGCACCTCCAGATTCTGGCGCGGCAATGGAGATGGGACTGGTGTCATTTGGATATCTTCACGTGCGGAGACGAAAGAGTCGCGACCAGAATGCGGCGAAGCCAAGGAGTCTCGGGGGCCGGCGTGGGTTTCGATTGAAGGCCGCGGCGCGTCTGCGGATTGGGGGTTCCTGCGCATGGCAAGCTCTCGCCTCGCCTTCTTCGACCAGACGCTCTCGATTGCGTGCCAGAT